GTGAGATCATGTGGTCTTTGTTTTTCTGTCCCTGATTTCCTTTACTTAGTATAATGTCCTCCAGCTCCATCTGTGTTGTCACAAGTCATGGGATTTCATTCCTTTTTATGGGTGACTATTCACCCACTGTGTAATTATACTGCATTTTCATCCATTCATTCATCGAGGAACATTTAGGTTGATTCCATGTCTTAGTTATTGTAAATAGTGTTGCAATAAACACGGGAGTGCAGGTGTCTCTTTGACATGCTGACTTCATTTCTATAATCAAAGACAGTTCTTGGTGAATAATGCCCTAGACAAACACGCTTACCCCCTCTGTTTCTTAAGTGTGTCATGCTTATTCTCATCACCAGGCCTTTGTGCTACGTCTTTCCTCACAGAGTCTACTCTCCAATCTGTGTACAGTTCTTCTTTGCTGATGTCTCAGTTGAAGCAAAATGGAAAAAGTGGCTTTTGCGAGGTCCCTGGCTGAGACCCCTGCAGCAAAAGACAGATTAACAAGATAAAAGAATCACAATTTATTTAACACAAATGTTCTGTCAAAAATGAAGGCTTGGGCAAACAGGAACTGTGTATTTGCTAGACAGTCTTGCAAAACGATAATTAGAGGACAAACATTAAGATCTAATTGCATGAAAATTGAGAACTCAGCGGGGCTTCAATTCAGTCTTCTTGGCATTCCTATGTGACATTCTTTCTCTATAGAGTGCGAGGGAGACACCTCACATATTAGGGTCTTGAGGGAAAAATGGAGAGAAATGGTTATGAATCAATTTTTTTAGGTTTTATGACTTGATGCAAGAAAGCCAAGAAGTGAAGAGTATTTTACAAATTCCAACATACCATATTTTGAAATGCATGTCCCACATGCTGCACATCTCTCAGATCCCTCAATGTATAGCCACTGCACAAACTCCCCTGTTCGACCGTTCAATTAGAATTTCCACACATGCGCAGTTACCTCCTACATCACTTTGTCACTCATTGTTACTTATCTCCCTCATAGAATGTGAGTTCTGTGATGTGGAGACCCCATCTGTCTTCTGTTCGCTGTGGTATTATCTGTATCTCCATTCCTATCTGGGTAGTAATAGGCACTCCATAAATACTTCAAGAAGGAAAGCAAACAGAGGACATAGACCACTGCCCACGCTACATACGATTTCAAATATGTTAGAAAAACTACTTCATAGGAATAAAATGTAAGCACATAACATGCACCTAATAATGAGTTCAGTCAGTTTGTTTTGAATTAAATTTGAAGCCCACAGCTCATTTTCCACTTCTGCCTCTTTGTTGGACACATCACTTTACTTCCAAGGGCCTCCATCTTGGTTATAAAAGAAGCAATTCAGACTGGAGTTAAAAGATTACCTATGCTGCCTAATTCCAATGTATATATGAAAAGCCTGAACCCAAGAGAAATGGGTAATCATTTTAATATGCCTAGAAATACCTGTTCCTGTACCCTTTCTTCTTACAATATTATGTGAATATTTATTCTCTGTTTTAAATCATCATTATATCCCATAGTCTTAAGCTGCTTAAATGCTCATAATATTTTTAAAAAGCAATTTTAATCAGATAATATTAGAGTTTTTTCATATACAGAAACCAACCTACTCATTAAGTTGGAATTTAGAGATACATCTGCTTAAGAATATCGAATTAACTACAACCTGATTGACTGTTAAGCAAAATATCAGATCAAATTAGAAATATCAAGACTCTCCACCACACTCAGTAGGTCTTAGGTCTTATAGACACAAGCTAAGTGTCAAGTAGAAACAGCTTTCACCTTATGAGATTTCCCATTTGAAGGTTCTAAATGTATATCTATATGTATATAGAAACCACATCTCTGGCAGTTTATTGGTCAAACAGACCAGAATTCAATTGGGCTTTTATTCATCAGGTCATTGGAGACAATTTCACATAAAAGAAATAAATTTCCCAAGGAACTTAGAAGGGCACAAATGTCCTAATAGGGAAACAGGGCCCATTCTGAAAGATTCCTAAATCCATTCATGTAAAGATGCAGTTAAGTATTTCTAAGCTAGAATTTCTGATTGCTCACTTCTAAATCATTCCTGGGGTCTAAGACATTATACAGAATTTTTAGATGGACAAGAAATAACTAAGCAATTAATTTTTAAAAGAAATGATACAACACAAAATTGCCTTTTAGATAAATTACAAAACCTTAAATGATGCCGGATGTTGGTGGCGCACACCTTTAATCCCAGCACTTGTGAGGCAGAGGTAAGAGGATATCTGTGAGTTCAAAATCTATAACACAAGTTCCAGGATTGCAAAAAAGAACCTTAAATGAGTGGCCATTCATAATGCCATGTCTTTATTTTTTCACATGACTGCTAGTCAGTCATGAAATAACTCAAGCCATATACAGAAACACACACACACACACACACACACACACACACACACACACACACACTGTATATAACATCTCATGGAGCAATGTCTCTAAATAGAAACTCAGTGATGAGCTAAGGTTTACCTTCTTATGCAAACTGCTGAATCAGTGCAATCTTCATCACAGAAAGGCCCACACTACCAAGAAAGTGTTTTGCTGGAACATTGTATTCCTGGAGATTTACTGCTTATTAAAATGTGGGAGGCTGTTATTTCCACCAGAACAAATTTTTGTGAACAGAGATGAGCCTAGGAAGCTATTAGCCTATTTCCTGAATCATAAACAAAGAGTCTAGTATACAGCAACTCCGTGAGATGTAAAAGGGAGTATATTATATGATCCTTATTGGATTACTCAAAATCTCTGCGAAGCTCCCTTCAGAAGTCACATAAATCAAAGCTAACTGCTTCCATAGAAAAGCAATCAAGTTTTTAAGAGAATATCTTTGTTCCCTGAGGCTGTACAGTAAAATTTAGATGCTTCTATTAGGACCTTTGCAATGGAGCATACTTAACTAATTATGAAGATCCAGCCTGGAAAAACACCTGGACAGCCTCTGAGGACAGCCTAGGTTTCAAGTTTTACATTTTTAGAAACTATTTCTCCAATTATTCTCCAAACGTAGACATTAATATACACATACACACAAACATACATGCATGCACGCACACACACATTTTGTCAATACAAGCAGCTTTAAATATAGAATGTTATATTCATTTATTATATTATTTTATTACTATTAAACCAATACTGAATACTATAGAGATTTAAATATGTGCGCTTAGAAAAACCTTAAATTTGGGTATAGGGATAATTTAAAGCCCCCAAAAATGTGTCTTTGGCAACGTTGAGGGAGATTTTAGAAAGGAAATCTCATTTTTTCTCTGATCACTGATAATACTAATAATGGAATTCTTTGCTGTTACTGAGACATATCTTTAAAACTAGCCAATGATAGTGACACCTTGTCAAAGCAATTTGTTGCAAGGTATTTAAGTCCTCAAGCGGTTACTTCCCCAAAATCATTTCCCTTTCATTATGTTTTATGGTAAAATATTTAACAATAACCCCAGACTTGGAAACACATGCCACCCTTCCTTCTTGGAGCTGGTTTTTGACCTTGTGAACATTAACAATTAAACTCTAGAACTTTCAGCCAGAAGAACTGGTATTTATTTGTTTATCCTGTAACTTTGGAAAAATTAATTGGTTTCTGACATTTTCTTTTTTCAGGAAATTCATTTGCAAAACCAGATATGAATTTGTCTTCTCTAGGAAGCTTCTAAGGGTAAGTGATTAATCTGTTTAAAAATATTAACAAGGATTATTTTCTATGTTTACCTTGTATCCTACTGGATTATAGAAAATGCAAAATGTAGCATAAAGGAGCTTAAATTTTAGTGGACTGAGATAACATAAAATATGGGAATAATACAAGATAATAAATGTGTTAAATTCTGTGGCAAGATTATAGGTGCTGTAAGACTTCAGTCACATAGAAAATCAATAAAGCTTATCAGGCTTGGAGAATTTTGTGGAGAAAATGAATCTTAACTTGGAGGGAGGGAATTTAGATTTGATGTGATAAATTGTTCATAGTAATTGTAAGTTTTGGGATAGGGGAGTGACTGATGAAGCTAACACAGGAAGAAAATTTATGGAGTATCAGTATGCAGGAGTCTTAGATGATAGAAGAGGGTATGCTAATGAGAAGCCTAACATAATACCTCAGGGACAATATGATAAAGGCCTGAGCTGTGAGGTGGCTTCTGGAAACAGAAAATTGATATTTGGAAGAAAAATTGGTAGGTCTTCATAACTAAGTGAAGATGGTGGGGAGGGGTTATAACTTACAACACATATTACAGGAGTTAACAACTCGGCACCCATAAAATACAGTCAAATGGTTTTCAGTGGTATAAACATATCAACAAACCTAAGCATGATCCATGACATTTATTTGGGGGTGGTGGTGGGGGTCCTAAGAAGATAAGAAGGAGGAAGTAAGAATTGGGAACTGGAGAAAGAAAAGAAGACAAGTAAAGGATATCATTAATGGCATAGTTAGCAATGTGGTTGGTTATTTTTCTATTGCTGTGATTAAACACCATTACCAAGGCAAGGTATAAAAGGGTGTTTAATTGACTTAGGATTTTGGACAATTAGAGTCCAAATGGCAGGGCGAAGGCATGGCAACAGCAAGATCTGAAAGCTTGCATGTTGATTTGCAAATAGAAGAGGGAAGCAAGGGAGGAAGGGAGGAAAGGAGGGAGGGAGGGAGGGAGAGAGAGAGAGAGAGAGAGAGAGAGAGAGAGAGAGAGAGAGAGAGAGAGAGAGAGAGAATTTAGAGGTGCAAGAGTCTTCTGAAACTTTCAAGTCCTCTCCACTGACATGCCTCCTCCAATAATGCCACACCTCCTAATTATTCACAAATTGTTCCATCAACTGGGGACCAAGTACTTAAATATATGAGCCTATGGGAACTCTCCTTACATGAACCACCACAGAGCTGCCAGAAGCGATAGGACCTAGGCAACTCCTCCATTGGTATCTATACCTTCAGTTGAAACCTTGTTGTCATTATGTTCTCACAGTTCTCCATTGGTCACCAGTGAGCTGAAGTCTTCTGTCCTGGAGAAAGCCCTGAGGCAGCAAGCAGAAAGACTCAATGATACAGTGGCCTTGATGGCAAGAGTAACAACAATGACATGGAAACCTGTGGGAGTACAGGGTGCTACTCCAATATCCCTGTAACCTGGAGTTGTGAGTCAAAGATGCTTTCTCACTTAAGTTACTTTATCATTGTGTTTTATCATAGCAACAGTAAATGAAACCAAGACAGGGAGCTACATATCTGAAGTCTTATACAGGAAAACATTCCTCAGAGCTCAGAACCTGAATAATGAATTACTACCTTTTGTGGGTTGCAGCCCACTGAGGGAGTCATTCAGACAGGAACTTGAAACAGGTAGTCACATTACCCCATAATCAAAAGCAGAAGGGTTGGGCACGGTGGTATAATCTGTATGCCCACACTTGGGAGGCAAGCAGAACTCTCTGAGTTCTAGGCCAGTCTGATCTACATATAGTAAGTTCGGGGTCAGCTATCACTACTTCATAATACTCTGTCTTAAAAAGAGAGAAAGGGAAAAAAGAGCATAGATAATTATTCTATGCATACATATATGGTAGTTTTCAGTTGACTTTCTCAGGAATGGTATTGCCCACAATGGGTGGGTATTCCCATATCACTTAAGACATTTAGGATAATCCTGCCTAGATGTTCCCAGGGGCTCTATATCCAGGGGGTTTCTGATTCTATCTTAAAAGTAACACCCCTGTTTCCTTCTAAAGTTCTTCAGTCTCTTCTACTGATAAGTGATGAGAATGATTTCACTAAGTGTTTAACATTGTTATGAGAACAGTACACTAATAATTGTAAAGTCACTAAGCCAGTTAGAAATCTTGCCTCAACATTACATCCTTAATTTGATTTATTAGGAAAATTTGGAGGAAAAAATTAAATTACTAGTGACTGTCAACATAGGACACCCAAAGATCAAATGATGTATGGTCTGTTTCTCTTTATGTTAAGTTAAAAATACATGTGAAATATTTTACAAATAAGCATTTATATTTTCTAAATAATCATTATTGCATCAATATTTCTGCATCCCATTATAAACCAATATGTTACAGTTCACAGGAAGCATAAAGAAATTAATTTAGTGATTAAAATGTTCTTGAAGACTATTAAATACTCAAAAACAAAGTTAAGTTCTCCACAATACAGGAGAACTACTGCTTTCTAAGCTACTTAAATATTCTATATATCCTTCATTGTTACTATTTAAATGAAGTATAAAATACTATTTGCCCTATATGGTCACATAAAAAAGAGGAGACATAGCAGCAATTTCTAGATCGTGTGTGTGTGTGTGTGTGTATGTGTGTGTGTGTGAGTGTGTGTGTGTGTGTGTGTGTGTGTGTGTGTATACAGTGGTTCATTCTTATTCCTTCAATAAAGTCTCGAGGTCTCTATAGTACCGGAAACTTCTTTAGTAGGAAAGAAAGGAGCTAGAGAGATGGCTCACTAAGTAAAGTGCCTGTGGTGCAAGCCTGAGAATCAGATGTGAGATTCCTAGCACTAATACAAACATCAGGCAATGTCGACCATACCTGTAATCCTAGAGCTGAGTAGGATAAGATGGGGAATCTCTGGACCTGGCTGGCCAGCCTGTCTTGCCGAAGAGGTAATCTCCAAGTGCAGTAAGAAACAGTGTTCCAAAAAGTAAGGTGGGACTCACCAGGGAAGAATCTATATATTGTAAACTTCAGACCTACACATGTACAACAGCAGCCAATCACACACATGCACATATCCATGCAAATATCATACACACAGAAACAGAAACACAAGCTTTTGTTCTAAAAATTGTGTCACATTAGGGAACCAATGGCTGATAGCAGAACTGTTTTGTGAGCAAACATGGACTAGAGATAGGACCAGGAAAGTGCTGAGTGTCTCAAAGAAAGAACACCTCTCTCAAGTCTTAGGAATTATCTTCTCAGGACACACATTAATAGAAATTTACTGCAAACCAAGACCAAGAATGGAGGTACTAAAGACTATTAATGGACATGAGCCAGTCTTTCTCTTTGCCAATAAACTATCAATAAGTTGCAGCTGAGGTCAGTGGAAACCACACAAGTGATTACTACAGAGCTAAATCAAGGAGATCCACAGAAGCGAGGAAACAATGCCATCTACCTACACAGCTCTTACCGAAGAGTCTTGGGGAGACAGCTGTTCACATTTTGAAAAGAAATTATCCTATTTCAGGTGCAGAATTCACTGTGCCATAAAGTAGCTCATCTTGCCTTAACAGGTCTAAATATCAGGTATTTATTATTAATTTGAAAATCTACCTTCACTCTCAAGAGTCAAAAGGAAGTCTATACTACAAGAACAATGTCAGTCCTTCATGCGTTTGAAAACAATCACCATCTGTCCCTAAGACTCCCTACAGCCTTCACATGTCTGCAGCAATCATTTCCTGTCCTTTGACTTTCCTTATTAGTCTTTTAGTGTTAACTACCTTTCTAATTTGAAGAATTGTTTTTAACTAGTATCAAAAACCAACCAATCACCCAAATTTTTATACAATCATCATTTACTTCAGTATGAATTAATTTCATAACCATGACATTATATTTAATTGTGGTTTTTATTCATAAGGTAATTTTTCTTCATGTGTTTACACTTTAGGGTTAGGATAACCCTACTCTTTTCTTTGTTTGTATAGTCTTAACCCTTCAAATTTTCATAATTTCTTGCAAATTCTGTCCAGGAAACTTCACAATGTGGATAAATTTCAAAATGTATGGAAAGTGAAAGAATAAGCCAGACATGAAAGTCATATACTGTGATTTAACTTATATCAAACAGCCCAACTTAAAAAGTAGTTAATGCAGTGATCATCACACACTTGGAATATACTAAAATTGAATTTATACTTTATAGTAGACAGAATTATCTTTTTCCCCTCTCCCTCCCCCAGAATGATCTTTTTTTAAGTAACACATTTTATTATAATTTGTAGTAAGTTCATGAGAATGTGATAGGGAAAAACAAGGACACAGATAAATAATTGACCAATATATACCAGGCCGGTGACACATGTCAACACCCCAGTATTTAGAAGGCAGGGTCAGAAGGATTGAGCATTTGAAGGAGCTTTGAGTTACAGAGTGTGATTCTCAGAGTTAAAAAAAAATATTACATGGCCATATAAAGGACATAGCTAGACTGACAACTAACAAGCAAAAGAGTTTGGAGTAGCAGAGAGGTGATTACAAGGGTGTGAAATTAGTGAGAATGTTTGCACAAAAGATGAATGTTCAAAAGAAGACAGTATTTTAAAGTTGCTACAATACTGAATTTATCTCAACAAATGAATCGAAAACCTTTGTGTCTGCCATTAATATTGATTTTTAATAGCAGTGTTAGATAAAGGACTTGCACATCTTCTAGACTGTGGTCACATGACTTTGCTTTCTGCATATTAAGACAATTTTGGCTGGATTTTCACTAAAATCAGGGTCTCTATTGCCAGCGACTTCCAGTCATTCATCCTACATGTTTGTTTGTTTTACTTACATAAGTCACCAGTAAATAGTGGATCAATAATGATTCCAGCCAAATCAAGTTTGCTAAACCTACAAGACTATTGGGCTTACTTACAGTAAAATGGGCACTGCAGGAGTTTAGTGACCCCCAAACACTCACACCACCAAAGCCTCACTCTTTTATGCACAGTGACTCTCTACAGCTCCATAGATGGAGCCCCTCCACCCCACTCTGTGTACTCAAGCATCTCCCAAGATCATGAGAAACTGGGGCGGGATTCCGTGTATCTGGGATACAGGTGCTGCAGAGATTGGTTGTTATCTCACATAAGAGTCTAACGGCCTTGCCTACCATCCTATGAGGGTGAACATTTCTGATCTTGAGAGACTCTTGCATATTATCTAAGCTGCTATGATTAAGATGGTAATAGCTACCATGCTCAGACAACATCACTCTGCAGAAAACTTACGCCTCTATGGGGAAATATGGACTAAAGTCGCATCACAAAATAGCCCTGTCCATAAAGCTGCAAAACCATATGTCCTTTTTTTTATCTGTGCCTTTCAAAATCTCATCTCCCAAGTTGAGCTATAAATTTCTGTGAGGTACTGAATAAATCCAGAGCCAATTATGTTTTCTTGTGAAAGTAGATTAACAAGCCTGCCAAAAGGGCAACAGGAAACAACAACAATACCAATTAGAACTGCATAAGTCTCAAATAATGATTGAGACCTGCACATTAACAGAAAGGATGGTTAATCCACATGTGTGTTCCAAATATGCTTACTGAGTGCCAAGGCTGTGTGAGGTACAGCAGTCTATAGGAAAGTTACCATGCCCAGTATCTTCTTTTGTAGTGTTGTATATGGAAATGGCCAGTATCACAAAGCCACTATTTTTATAAATGAGAACAGGGTCAAACAAAGAAAACGGAATCACCCACAATCATCAGATTCTAAGTGTGATGCACTAGTATATCTACACCTGGGGCTCTCCTTGGAAAGCTGCATAATTCCAGAATAAAAGAAATATGATGAAATGATCCTGTCAATTTAATCAAAAGTCAGAGTATGGATCACCCTGTACTTATTTTGTATTGGTTGTCTATAGCTATACTCCACAAGACAATATTTGTATTTAGGGCCATGTTACATTTGATATTTTTAAAGAATATTACTATCCAATTTATTCTAAAAATATTTCTCAATATAAAATTCTATACAGATTGGAAGTTTCCTTTGATAAAACTGAAATTCAGAATTAAATATGTTCCTAGTAGTATTTCAAAATATATGTAATTTCAAAAAGATTTTTAACTTTGAATCACTTACCGTTTTTAAAATTTTAGCCTTTTATTTTAACTGGTCATTTCTCTTTGTTTTATTCTATATTTCTCTTTTATTGAAAATATATTTCTTTCATACTATATATTCTGACATGGTTTCCTTTTCCGCACACCTCCCTGTTCCTCCTCACATCTTTCTCATATGGACCCACATCCTTTTGCTCTATC